TGTTTGCTTTGCCCGCTGGGCCCTCTTATCTTATCAGCGCCGCCGCCACAATAGGCCAGGTGTACTCACCATTTTACCGTCGGGCGAGAGCAAACCGTGGCCCGGGTCCAAACCGGCCGGGGAGACTTGCTGCAGAACTGCCTGGCTGGTGGTGACCATGGCACCGGTGCCGTGGTGGCTGATGGCCCCGGACGATGCTGCCTCACCGCTTGCCGCCTGGCTGTACCGGACCCCTGCAAAACATTGCCAGGTGTTGGCATCACCCATGGGCACTCCAGTGAGGGTGCCCTGGCCGTGCCAACCCCCTCCAAAAGTGACCTTACAAAGAGAAAACACCTCACCCCTCCCTGGCTCCCTCAGCACGAGGATGCAAACAGATGTGCAAGCTCCTAAATGACAACCTTGAACAATAAACGGGAGGGACGGCCACCAGACAACATGGCCCTTCTTCCAGTGCCACTTTCCAGCTTCTCCCCAACCCCATCCTCTGAAATAATAGAAAGAACCTTATGATGAGGGATGCTGAATGCCCAGACAGGGCTGCAGCCCTCAAGCTGCTGTGGGGTAGAAAGGGAGCCCGACCTGGGCCAGCAGCCTGGACACCCATCTGTACCCCTTGTGCTTTAATTTGCACAGTTTGCACCCATCGTGCCTGGTGCCCCTGAGCTCCAGGGAGTGACTCTGCATCCCCCCACTCCTGTTCCCCCAGCTCCTCACTGCCCCTGGCCAGCCCAGCTCTGAACGGCGGCAGCTCTTGCTTGTTCCTCAGCTCCTTCTGCATCCGATTTCCCTATCAACTCCCTCTCGACAAGTGTATGATTAACAGGTTACTGCAGGAAGACAGCGCGACCAAACACACACAGACCTCTAAATCAGACCGCAGCCCACCACCCCTGAGGAGGGAAATCTGGCTCAAGCACAGGTCTTCTATATAAATATATTTAATTTGGCTAAAACACCCAGCACTGATAACTATATGATCAGCCATGTGTCATGGAAAGGCATCTACAGATCACAAATAATTAACTGAGGAAAACCCACGGGAAACAAAAGCGTCTTTTACAAGGCTGCCTTGACGACTATGGAGAAAAGCTATTTATTACGAGGAGTTCAGCACCGCGCTCCCACCCTGGTTCACTGAACTGCCCTGGGATCGAAGTGGTGGATGGACAGACAGACAGACAGCCCACAGCTCTCCTGGGAAAGAAAAACACTGTGGCAAAGGCCATTGACCCAACCGAGACCACCAAGAGCATTGTTCACCCATGACCCCCAGCCACTGCACAAAGGCATTGGGGTTGGCTCCCCGAAACGACTGCCTGTCGGAGAAGTTCAGCCTGCAGAGGATGCTGGTGGCTTCTTGGCTGTCCCAGCACAGCATGGACACTCCCAGTTCCAACTCCACCCCAGGTAAAGGATCTTTCTCCTTGGATTTTGGGATCTCCTTCTCACAGGTGCCCGAGGAAGAGCTAACACAGGCTGGCTCAGCAGAGGATGCTCTAAGGGCTACTCTAAAAACCTCTGAATCAAGGAAAAGGAAAGAAAGTATAACTAGAGTCTGGGAGTTTTCCAAGAGTTCCAAAAGCACCTGCAACCTGGTCTTGCCACATTAAACCATGACAACCTGCCAAAGCACAGCCAGCTACCTGCACCCTCCACCAAACCCACAGCAAAGCCACTCTTTCACTGCCTCCGAATTCTCCCCATCAGCTGGTTAAACACATCCCACAGATAGGAATCTTCCCCCCGAATGTCTGGTTCCTGATCATTTCCCAGCAAACCCCTTTTATCCCTGATAATAAAAGAATGTCCTCTGGCAGGTGGATATTTGCCGGTCCGAGTGGACGTCCCTGCCGTGAACAGGGTAAACATTACTCAACTGGGGCACTGTCCCACACATTCTTCCCTGTGGTCCTGGCCTCATGCAGAGTGTGCTTCAGCCGCTGCTGCTCCAGGATCCTGCAGCACTGGTTAAACAATGGAAGGGAGATAAAACAAAGCCCTTTCTTCTGAGTGTGATCTTCAAGATAGACCAGGAGCACAGACGGCTCCTATTGGAAAGAAAATCAGAGTTTCTGCTCAAGCTTCAGTCTCTTTTGGGTTGGTTGAAGCTTTCCACAAGGAAAAAAAAATCCATTTAAATCCCCAAATCATGCTTTACCCAACTGAGGATGCTCATAACTCCTGACACATGGAGTCATGAAGTTGTCTTTAAAACACATGAGAGGTTAAAAGCTGATTTTAAAGCTTTTCCTTTCAATCTGAAGGAGAAGACTTTTATTGTTTGAGAAACAATAACCAATGCTGAGATTTTCAGATAATCTGGTGACTGAGATTTTGGGTCTCTAGATAAAAACACTAAAGACTCCGAGTCTTGATGAAGATTAACTCTGCTGAGGAGCGTGGGGTCGGGCTTCAGTGGCAGGGGCTGCACTTGTAGGGGGCTCCTGCATCCCTAAAGCCTGTGGGCACCTGGGTCTGCCCAGAAACTGCTTGTTGGGCAGAGTAAAACCCTTCTGCCATGGCTACCTTGCAGACCTTTTGGAAACCTCTGACTATCCTGGCTTGGGTTTTTCCCATCCCTAGAACGAGATGGAAGCAGTGCAAGTGTAAAGAGATTTATTCCTCCTCAGCCTATCCCTACAACTGCCCAAGAGAGGAGCCTGCATGGGGATCACCAGCAACCGGCCTGGCTGTGGAGCCTGCCCTCCTTAAGGCTTTTTTTTTTTTTTAACTGGAGCTACAGCCATAATATAAAAGTCCGTTTATGGGACCTGGCTATTGTGTGGCCCCTGAGCTGCACAGCCTGCGAAATGTTTTACTCCTTTCCCACGTTTCCAGACAAGTGGCAGGGTCCAGCTCCCAGAGCCTTAACCCTGCGTTCCAGTCGACAGGGATGGGTGGCGTGACAGCCCCCAGACCCCATGACCCTCACGTGCAGGGTCCTGCACACCCATGGCTTCCTGCACCCAGTCCTGGGCCCCTCCGGCTTCTCAGGGGTGCCAGACCTGTCCCCCTACCCAGCTTTTGGGGTGGGGAGAGGAATGAGGGGGGTTTAGGGCAGCGATCCATAACTTTGCTGTTTTCATGGCAGGTTTGTGCCATTTTCTAGGTACACATCAGCCTTGTGTCAATCATACTGATACAATTAAATTACCCTTTTTCTTAAAAAAGTATAATAAAAACTGTAACTGTACTTTTAAAAACCACTCCGTACTTTCAAATGTATTTCCCATGCAGCAGGAGCCCGCTGCTGTCGCATGGCACATCCTGACCTCCTCCGGCAGCACTGCCCCGGCACCAGGCTGGGCTTTTGCCTGAAGCTTTGCAAACATCCTGCAAATCTGCGACGCCCAACCCTGAAATGCACCCGGCCGCACCGTGCGCCCGATCACTGATGACTCAGGCGGCTGCAGGGATTCAGCCCCAGCTTTGCCCAACCCGCAGGGATGCAGCTGCCAGCATGGACCGGCAGCGGGGTGATAAAGGCAAAGCACTGGTGCAGTTTTTGGGAGTCACGCTGGCCTCAGCGATGCTGCACCTATTATGGAAGCAGCCAGGTCGGTGATGAGACCATTATACCAGGTCCAGGCAGTGCCAAGGACAGTTCTAGTTTTTGGGCTGCCACTCAAATTGTCCCTAAAGTGTTAATCTTGCTAAGTTACAGAGGTGCATAGTTTATATCCATTATAAACCTGTTTATGGGGACTGGACCCTCCCATTTTGCTGCTGTCATAAAGTTCTAATTACCCCCCATAAAACAGGGAAAAGCTCCTAACAGCGCACTGTACCCACCGAGCCCCACAATGCGCCCAACAGTAAAATATTACAACCCCTGGCACCGGGTCCGCGATCAGAACCAGCACATACCCCCAGGAACAACGTGCAGGACCCGGAGCGAAACTGAAGCACCCCTGGACCCAGGGTTTATTGATGGGCTCTTAAGAAAAAAAAGACTTAAATTGCCCTTTGGGTTTAGGAAGAATCTCAAGGGTGGTACTGAGTATGTTTTATGTTTGTTATCTACAGTTGTAGAGATATCTAAAAATATATATAAATAATGTACATTCATATATATGTGTGTGTATATGTGATTGCTCTGATACTCTCATTTTGCAGTGTGGGTACTGCTGGACAGACGGATGGATGCCTCGATCACCTTTCGGTGTGGGACACCCTGGGATGGGCTGGAGGCAATGCTGTGACCCCCAGCTGCTGGGATGGGGCTTTGTGGGGTCCGATGGGCGCCAGCCGGCCCTTTGTATGCAGGATGGGGGGGGGGCGCGGCTGGCGAGCGCGGTGGTGCGTCACCTAATCTCATCAATGTGCTGATTGTCTTCGGGGCTCTTGAAGATAAAAATGGCATAAGCCAGAGTCTACGGCATGGCACTGAGATAAAACCCCCAGTGACCTTCAAATCAAACAGAGAACCAAGATCGCTGATAATACCCCATAGGAAGGGAAAAGTCCAGAGTCTGAGAGAAGCCTCTGAGATAGATAGGCTTTAAGTATTTACCTCCAAATAGTTAAAAACCATGGCTTGAGGCTTGACAGATGGGTCCCCAAGAAGAGGCTGTGAGGATGTTTGACTTTTACAGCTCTTATCCCTGTCCAGCCATCATTACGCCCTTTCGCAAGACCTCATTGACGTCCTGAGGAGCAGGCGATCCCTCTTTGTCTGCAGGCATGGAAGCGATTTTGTGGCCGACCCATGCCGCCAGCTCCATCGTTTCCTGCCGGGGGATGTCATGGGGTGGACGGGGCTGCACGGGGGTAGGATGCGGGCAGCATCCCCGCGCCATCATTAAGTTGTTAAAGCATTGAGAGCTCCAGACGCCGCCACACGTGGTGCAAGGGCAGTTCAAATCTCAGCATGGCCACCCCAGATGGGGTCAGCCAGGCAGTGGGGTCAGCCCCACCAGCACTGCTTCGCACCCCACTGAGGCAGGGGCTCTCTAAAAATCTCTTGGAGCAGGTTCAGGCAGAGATGGACCCAGCAATGTTTCAGGACCTGCAATCTTGACAGACCTGAATTGGACCAAGTGACCTCAAAGCAGTCACAGGAGCTCCATCCCTGCCCATCACACTCAAACCAGCCCTAAAACGTGATGGTGGCCCTCACCATGCCTGTCTCCTCCTCCTCGGCAAGGCCGATGGATACGAGGACCGACTGCCAACAAATTCCTGCAGCTGAGCCCTCCTGACCCCTCTAGAGAGGCCCTTTGCCGCCGCCGCGGCCATCACTCCTGCCCTGCTCAAAAGCCCCTCCAAATGGGCTGTCATTGGCCCTATAGCCACGGCAGGCTCCTGCTGGCCACTGCTCCGACAGGAAAATAAAGGTTGGGGCTTAACGGCCCTCCAGCCCCCAGATAAATGCCCGTGGTTACAATAATTGCCGTCCCCTAATAGAAAAAAACAAAGGGTCTCACAGGGTGCCTGCATGCGCACTGGCAGGACAGGGGCACATCAAAGGCAGCCGGGTTCGTTCAAAGCCCCGGCTTAATTGTCAATTAAGCATGCACGGGGAGGACAACACCATGACAACGCGGGGCTGCATGCTGGTGGGGTATTGTAAAGCCCACCGGCAGACACTGAAAACAGCTGATTTTGCTGACAATGTGCTTGTAGGGCACCTTGTAAGCAATCAGCCGGTGACAGGAGGGCAAACGTCCTCCCTGTCCTCACC